TCCACATTGGTGGAGAAAAAAATAGATCTAGAATGGTGAAACACTACTTAATTAATCCACATTGGTGGAGAAAAAAATAGATCTAGAATGGTGAAACACTACACTGTGACCTGAGACTTCAGTGGTACTACAGTAAATATATATATATATATAAATAATTTACATAGACGAAATATTAAAAATTATCTTAGTGTTAATGAAACAAAATAACATGACTAAAAATGTGTATTGATAGAACAGGGCAACATAATTTAAATTATCTAAATTGATGGCACTGTAAAGGTTACCTATGACAACCGTATTGGTTAAACACTAAAAGATAATGTATAGTGTCTGCAGTGGCGTAACTACCGTGCAGCAGAGACTACGAAAGCTAGACAATATGGCGAATAATGTGTTTATACCAGAGTTTCTTAACCAGCATTTTAACACCATTTAAGAAGAGGTAGAGGCGGGTCCTATTTTTGACTAGTGTCCTCCACCCAATACCAAAATATAATTTTTGACACTAAAAAAGATAAGCTGAAAATTTGAGGTCTTTTTTTTTTGCCATAATTGTTTTTATCTTTTTTGTAACTTAAATTTTGACAACTTTTTCTTCTTCTTTAAATAGGTGTAACCCATTCTTATTTTGATATAGTTCCCCCCCCCTCTTTTATGTAAAACTGACGACAGTCCTGTATATCGAAAACATGCATTTCATTTCAAACTTTAAGTTATGCATCACATCTGAAAATGGAAGATTTTAAATGTTTAAATCTTAATATCATGCTGGTCGAATATTATCGTATTCATTTTATCTCTTACAATATATAAAAAGGTAAGTAGAATATATATAACATGCTGGAAAACCTCCAGTTTCTAGGGCTTTTCCATAGAAATACTGACAATCAGTACGTAATTAGTTTAAAGATATTGATTACATAATTATGAGTACGCCATTATAAAATATACATATAGCTTATGTACTTTATGGAGTTATTACATTGGATATTATATGGTATGTATAGGTCCTCCGGTAAGGCTATGGATTTATCAATTCTAAAATCAGGGGTTCGATTCTCTTCAGTGGTCACAGCAGATAGCCCGAAGTAGCTTTGCTATGAAAACACACACACACGATATGTATAGTTTTAATTCTTTATATATATATTGAATTATAAGCTTCCATATAATGAACCGAATTTCAATGAAGATGTAGGATTTAGCAGTTCATTATTGTGTTATGTTACTCAATGCATAACTGAAGTAAATCTAAAAGAATTCAGACATTTACGAAGCAACTGTAGCTTTAAAACCTACTCTATCAAGTTTGAAGAATCACAGATTAATGTATCAATCATTAAAAGCAGATGTTCTTGAAGTTGTTAGCACTTTTTTACACTTTCGGAAAAGTGCCAACCAAAAATTAAACTGCATATCGACGAACTTACTAAGGATTATACAGGCCTACGATGGTTTTATTGTCTTGAAATTTTTACATGTTCTACAGTAATTCCTGTACACTGAATATGAAAATGATATCCATTTTTCTCCATCACGTACAGATTTTTCACAAAACGTCATATGTACTTTTACATAAGTGAATCATTATCATTGAAATCGGATCACATTTTGTTATGCTTAAAATGTTGACAACCACTGGCTATAGATTTCTCTAGACCAATCGCGACGTGAGAGTCTTATCGATCGTTCTAGAACATGAGAAACACACGATAGTATATAAACAGCTAACAGGCCGCGTGACGTGTCATTTCTGGATAGTATTTGTTTGTGCGTACACTTTGGCATTATTTTTTTCTTTTCAATATTGTTTATTCGTCGCTATGACAGCAAGAGGTTGTGTAAATGACCCAAACATATTCTGTTATGTTTGTGGTAAATTTGTTGTAAAGAAACAAAGGCTAAACATTACAGAATATAATTTTGAGACCAGGACAAATCATTGGCTTCGCACAAAGTTTGCACCATTTGTGTCGAAGAGTTGAGACAATGGAATAAAGGTAAGAAAAAATCTTTGCCTTTTGGAATTCCAATGGTGAGTCTAGAAATCACGGAGATGACTACTATTTTTGCTCATGTACGTGCAAGGCTACAACACTGGAAATAAATTTGTTTATTTGAAGTTAAGCACAAAGCTACACAATAGGCTATCTGTGCTCTGCTCACCACGGGTATCGAAAGCCGGTTTCTAGCGTTGTAAGTATGCAGACGTACTGCTGTGCTACTGAGGGGGTCTCGAAATAAATGGAAATTTCTTAGTCGAACCTTCAGTCTGCTATTGGATCTGATGTACCTGTACCTACTCCATGATGGCTGATTACTGCTGGTCATTGAAACCAGATGCTCCAGGCACAATACATAAAAAAGACCACAACACATAGTTTTGAGACTAAACGACGTAGTTTTCACACACACAAAAGAAATGAGAATGCATAATCGTTTGACATCAGTGTTCTTCCATTTTCTTCCGTTTGTTTGTATTTTTGTTAACAAACGTAATAATAAAAATGCTCAATGTGGTAAACGAAATAATAAGTAGATCTAAGTAAGAGTTTTTTCTTCCCGATTGTAAAAAAACCTTACATGATTGAAAAAATGAATATTATTTTTGAAATCTGAGTAGCTGAATTATGGCAAATCTTTTATTAAAATCAAAACAACTTTATGAGGTTTAAATTTGCAGGCCTGTGTTTCCGTTTCACCAACAGAAGAGATATTTAAAACTCGACAACGCTTTTGAACAACCATCTCCTCTCAGTGACAATTTTTTCCTCTTGATTGCAATTCCTTCTAGTTGTGAGAAATACCATTTCCTTAGATTTTTTAAACTTAAACCATACAAAATAGTAAAGGACAACACACACTTCAGCAATAACAATAACCTGTGGTGATGGCACCAAAGTTTTCTCTTACCTATCAACTCTGTTGTATATCTAGGTAAAACTTAATATAAGTTTGAACTATCAGACAGGTCTGCTAAAATATCTAGTAATTTGATCAGGATATCGATTAATGAGTATTACCAAAACTTCCTTAACTGAGTCAGTATTAGGGCAATCAAACTCACAATCTGAGAGTCGCTGGTTCAAATTCCAATCTTACCAAACGTGTTCACCCTTGTGACGGCCAATCCCACTATTCGTTAGTGAAAGGGTAGCCCAAGAGTTGGTTGTGTTTGGTGATGACTAGCTACCTTTCCTCTAGTCTTTCGCTGCTAAATTAGGGACGGCTATTGCAGATAGTCCTCGTGTAGCTTTGCACAAAATTCAAAACCAACGAAACAAGTCAATGTTAAACAGAATAATAAGACTGAGCAAATGAGTAAAACAAAATAAACAATTTATTAAATGTAAAAGACAAACACCCTATGTATACTAACAATGTACTTAAAAACACTGTACAATAACTTTCACTAGATGTTCTCTCAGGTCAAGATCATCTACCAGACTACCAAATCTAAGTTTCAAAGAAACCTCACATTTGCCCAGAGCAACATGAGCTACCGCACAACTGATCATTCCCTCCTGCACACTTTCCCTTACTTTTAAGAAAATACTATACAATTTGACAAACTAAATTTATTATTGATAAAATTAAGAATATAAAAAAGGGAAAGTATATTTAAAGTAACTGGTTTATTGTTATTTCCTTATATACTTCATATTTTATTGATTATTATTATACTTGCAACTTTTCTGGCTTTTAGTCTTGCAAACGCAGGAGTAGAGTCAATCAGCTTCAAAATGTCGTTCTCAGTTTACCTTAATGTCAAAGCATTGAGGGACTGTTCTTGCATTGCAGAACGTAACTCTGACTCTTTAATTTTGAGAAAGCACACTCTTCCCTCAGCCACAGACATGTGTAACATTAAGGTACATGTGAAGGGCTATGTTCGTATTTAGATACACCTAGACTGTGTTTCTTTTGCACAACAATTTGCTGCAGTATACACTATTTGGGATTTCTTTGCTCTCATTGTCACTGCCAATACATCTGCTGCTGGTACTGATACTGGGAAAATAGTTTATCAACAAATTCTGAAATGTGACAACTTCATCTGGAAAAATGTTTTCCAAATCGACTGGTAGGCCCTTCACAGAGGCAGGCCCATGGCATCTGCCTTTTTGCTCATTGGATAAAACAGCCCTACTAATTTGTTAACTTGTCAGTGTAAAGAGTATATGCAGTGTCAGTTCAGTACTGTTATCAGTAGCTAACTTGTATTTTATCATGTATCACAAATGTCAGTTCCACCCCAAGTGCAATCAGTGAACGGCAATGAATGAAAGACAATGATCTTGGTACAATTAGGTATCGCCTATAACTATTAATCAGCTAAAACACATGCTTCTCTTACAGTTACCTTGCCCAATGTATGAGATCCAGCAGACTTCATGGGGCTTTAGACTGTTATGCTTTAGAGTGGGTGCATACTGGCACCATAGCAATCCCTCCATTTCTGGCCTGCTGCCATCCTAGGAACACAATATTTCCCATACTTATGTGACTGCCTTTGTAAATCCCTGGGTTCACTACAGGATTGAAGACAAAAGAATGGTTCCCTATTTTGGAGATAGAAATTGCCCCTAATCCTGGGGACAAACAAGTCAACACTTATCTAAACTCAGTTTTCTTTGTGATACAAGTCAAACATAATTCAAACGGACCCAGCATTCTCCTCCTGTAGTCAATACAAAAATCATGTGATAATACTACAACTAAATGTAGCTAACAAACAATTTATATATATAATGTCTACATTGTTCTAAAATAATGAGACAAAATAGTCGTTAATATCCATAAAGTTTGGAAATAGTTTAATTGTAGAAATCAATCAAATTTCTATATCAAAACTACTTGAACACAATAAACACACTATGCTTTCTTTCACTCTGGGCAAACTAGTAATTGTTACATTACTTCAAAAACACTACAACACAGAAACTACAAATATTCCAGTTGCATTAACTACAAAATATACCCTCACTAACACTAATGAAAACGAATCAACCAAATTTCTCCCAATGAAAAAAAAACACACTCATGAATATTCCCGTTTGGGAATAAACTGAACACATTCTCTCCAAACATTAAGAAAACACAATATCTATTATGGTTCTCTCTCAGTGCAATCTAAAGCTTTAACAAACATACATTTCAATATTCAAGTCAAATTTTCTATTTACCTTAACAACTATGTTTTTATATAGATTAAATTATTGTATATAATCAAGTACACACAAGTTGATCTAAATCTGATGTATCATGTTTTATAACTACAGCAATTAGTTTTAGTATCTGCACATACTAAATCACATGTACAGGCTTCATGCACCTCTTAAAGAGTTAAACCACTCCTCCTCAAACAATATTAAGGAAATTAAAATCATAGGAGGAGTATAATTGGTTGTCCCAGCCATAATCATCCATTCAAATCACACTTTGCATTGTCAACTACAAAATACATGCACAAGGGATGACAAAAAGTCCTTTGTCATCATAACACAGCAATCAGACTGAACTGCTATGATTTTTCCATTATTACTAACAAGAGATCATGAAAACCTACTACATCAGATAAACACAAAGAATAACTTAGACAAAATTCTAGAAAAGCCATACACATTCTTCTTTCATTAACACAACAATGCCAATATACAATGCTGTATTGGAGCACTTACTGTACTTTAAAATGACTGACACAACCCTGCCAGACAAACAGGAGGTATCTTACTGTCACATCCCAAGGTCATGTTGACTTGTGTACAAGACTACAAATTCACTCAGTTTTTACAAGAAAACATTTATCACAAAATTTCACCTGAGTGGTTTAAATGCAAGAATTCCAAGCCCATTCAAAGTACTGATATATCCGTGTTTCATTATATATATTGTTATTTTTTAACTTACAAATCTTTAATATTTGAAATTTTCCTCAAAATTTGGGAATTTCTAATCATTATCAATAGTCAAAACCAACAATCAATTTCTCTATGATCTCATCTGTCCTAAATGTGTATTTGATGAGTTTTGCAAGGTCTGCTTCCATACAAATGTCACCATGACTCAGATAGCTTGAGCTATTAAAAATACACCAGTCTTGCTACCACATATCACTCAGCTCAGATTGTGAGTGTCACAATGCCCTATATGCAGTGTTTTAAATTTACAATAATCAAGCAGATATCACACATTTTCTAAAAAACATCTTACAGCATATCACCACTCAACAGCTGAGAAACCATTCATCAATACTTCCTTTTGGTCACTGATTTTTCAATAAACTGACCATCCTAACTGGTGTTCAGCAATTAATCCCAGCCATAATGATTATGAAGTCATCAGAGCAGACATACTTCTTTTCTACTTCACCTCATCCTCCAAAAACTTTCAGATAAGCACTGCAAGTTACTTTCTCCAAATCAGCTAAGTCAAGGCCATATGACAGAATGCTCTCGCCATTAGAGTCAACTTGTTCATCCACCTCCGATTCCATAAAAGGCTCATCATTGATACAGAATTTAAGCTTGTTAGCAGTAATTGCATCTCAAAACAAACAAAACAACACAGATGTGCTAGTTTTAATATTGAGCCCAATTTCAAAAATTTGTTAGCCCTGTGTTTACTTCTGAAACTTGTAACAAATGTTTTCCACAGCATATGCAAGATTTTTTTTACAAAGTTTTCTCATTAGATCTGCACTGATCCCATGAATGATCAGTGGTGTGTATAAAAAAGTGCAAAACTGCTGATTCGGGAAATTCTCATTCCTAGACTTAACCCAGAATTTATTTTTTTATGTAGAACCTTAATGCTTAAATAAAGCAGGCTATCTGGACTGAACTTTCTTTGAAGTAACTAGTTAGAATATTCTCACAAGGTAAAGTCATAATGCATTTGAAAATTTCCTGCATGATGCATTATCAGTAAATAAACAATTAAAAATAAATAAAATAAATTGTTGATTAAGATACTTTTCAATATTACTAATATTTATGTCTCAGTAGTGGACCCAATAATCCCATACCTGGAACTTCAATGTCTATAAAGTTTAACTCACCAGAAGCTTTTGAACAGGTTGAATAATTTCCAGTTACTTTCAGATCACAAAATGGGCAGGACAGATTAAAATATTGATAATCAGGGAAAGTATGTTGATTATTCATCAAAGACAAAAATGAATCAACAATCTTTGATAACATTACTTCAGAAACTGTGGCTCTGCTCTTATAAAGAATGTGGTTGAGGTTCAAGTAAAGGTTGGTACTGTAACATAAGTCAAACTTCTTAGATAACAAGAAATCAATGAAATTCTTCTTCAAGCTTGAAATTTATTAAGGAGACCCAATGAATAACCAAACTGCTTTTATTAACTTTAGCTATATTTCCTTACAGTTTACCAAAGTAAATGAGTAACTATTTTCTTCCTAAGTTGTAATATTCTACATAAAAATGCTTAGTGGATATACCACAACTTAATATATCATTAACCAAATACGATCAAATTTAGATTGTTCATGGTTCTGGTATATAGTCATAGAAACTGTCCAGTTTTGGAGGTTCAGCATAAAGATTAGACTTTGATCTCTCTCCAGACTTATACTGCCGCAGCCTCTCCTTCTGCATTGCTTCAACTCGTTTCCGCTAAACATTAAAAGCAAAATATTTAAATTTTACCCATAAAAAACAAAACCAAAAAAACAGTACAGTACAAAAGTTTATAAAATACTGGAAGTATGAGACATTAAATGAAAAAAGAATTAACTTGATAAATGCTTATTATTATAAAGTAAGGTGATCTGAAACATACCATGATAATGTTTCTTGACATTTTTCGATAGATGGTGCAGAAAAACAAACCATCAAATTAAACAGTAACCACAAATATTTTAAATATTTCTTATTAGACTGAAAGTATTACAGTTATTAATTCAGAAAAAACAAAATCATAACAAAAGTGATCAAAATCCTGTTTGGTTGCCCATTTTTTCCTTATATTTTTCTTAATTAGTCCATAATGAATTCAAATTCAATGGTACATAAAAGTTAACATCTTCCTAAATGGAAAATGTATTTCCAATAATACTTACTTCCGCTGACACTTGTAGCTATTACTTTACTCCTGGGTTTTTTTCCTTTGCCCATCTAAGCAATGGTCTGATCATTTCTCATTTGCTCCAGTCTTTTATAACCCACTCAGTTGCCCATGGCAATATTTGTCTTGTGACACTCTCCACCTACATCAATGTGCCCTCTATCCTGGTACTGTATATAAGCACCTCATTCAGATAATGTTATCACTTTTTCGAGACTGACTCCATCCCAGTCTCTAACACCAGCTCTTAGTGGGGAGGATAGGTATGAGTGTGTCAGTGGAGGTAGGTATTATTGGAAATACATTTTCAATTTAGGAAAATATTAACTCCCAAAACATACTTACCTCCACTGACACTTATAGCTAGAATCCCACATTGAGAAGGTGGAGAGGCCAGTGAGGGCACTCTCCATACAGAAAGCATCTGCATAGATCACGGGGTTGTCAATAGAAGATTGGCACCCTAGAGGGGAAACTGCATTACATCCAGAACAGGTATGCTCCTCACCCTGAACTTAATTCCTGTATCAAGGGTGGAACTGTCAATGAGTGATCACCACTATAGACCAGCCCAACCAGAGAGTCAAGGTTCAACTACTCAAGGTTGGAATTAAGGGGTCTTGGTCCCTATATCCCATGTTGGTGGCTATGGCAATTGGACAGCAATATTATATATATATATATATATATACTTTCGATTGGATCCCAACCTGTAGCCATAGGGTGGTGCATTCCGAACAACTGGAATGATGATGATATAAAGTAAGCAACACCAAAGCAGACAAACCTTCACCTCCACCTGAAGAAGCTCGAAAGGACAGAATCATTTATGCCTTACTAAATAAAAGGAACAGAATGCATCCAGTCTGGAATTATGAACATTCATCCTCACTCTCCAACTGAGTGAGCAAGGAGCCTTCCTCTTGCCTCCTGAATTATGAGGAGGACATAGAACAACTGTCCTCAACCAAGAACCCAGGATGGACCACTCTGCATTCAGAATTATGAGGAGATAGTGGACCCCCTTCCATGAAGAATGTACTAAATCGATACTGATCAAACAAAGGGCCATGTACACCCCAACTAGATAGCCGAGTGTCAAATCTGAATTGCTATTACGAGTAGTCTCCCGCATAGGCTGGTGCTGCTTCTACCAACATCTGGGCAAAAAAACATCCAGCAGCATGGGTAGGAAGGCCCCCAATTTTGCCCTATTCTCCAAAAGTGGAGGAATTGACTCTAACACTCTGAAGGAAAAGCCTCTGTTCACTGTCCCAGTGACTGGAAACTGGGTGTGGTAAGGACTCCCTATCTCCACTAGTAGAATCTGGGGAGTAATGTGCTTTGGGGAGTACTGAGGAACAGTGAAATAGGTTAACCAAGTTCCATAAATTTTTAAAATTGAACTGACCCCAATTTATTCAATCTGATGAGCAGCAGGGATGGGCAGGATCCCTTTTAGCTTTACTCATGATAGTCCATGAGTGGCAGTCCAGTATAGTATGGTAGTCTTATGGAGCCTGTTGCAATCAGTAGTAAGTACAGTGAAATGGTGGTTGCTAGTGTGGAATTGGATTGATAAAAGCACACCTGCCTGGGCTACACTTGCCACAGAGTGGGATCCAGTGAAAAAAAAAAAGGAGGTAAGGGACCCTGGAAAGTAGAAAGAAACCAGGAGTTAAAAAAAACTCACCCCTCTTTATAATCCAGCAAATGTGGTCAAAATGGCCATAGGGAGTAGGCGAAAACCCTCAGAATAATATGCCAGATTGTGTAAACAATGTGAAAAAAAATGTATTGGGAGAAGTCCACATACCAGCTAGCATGATGTCCTTCAGCAGGCAATTCAATCTGACATCTATAGCCGACAAATGAATTGGTGAGAAAGATTTATCCCCTTCTCTGGCTGCCAGAGTCTTAGAAAGGAAGGACCTATCTGAGTATAGCAGGACATAAGAAGAGAGACAAAAATGTTATGTCCACATGCAGTGCAAACAACTCTGACCTACAATGTCCACAGGCCAGCAGCAACAAAAAATACACTTTAAGGGGAAAATGATACATAGTACATGAGGCTAAAGGCTTGAATGGATGTCAAGCATATAATACCACCTTAATATCCCAGTTAGGTAATTGAAAAGGGCTTTTGGAACAAAGGAAACAAAGTGATTTATTTGGGGACTCAAATAATTAATGTTTAGAATACCAAAAACTAGTCGATAAAGCTGGCTTATATAAGGCAATAGTATAGGAAACTAGACTTTTGTCAAACAACCAGGTTTAAAACATATGGTTGGCACATTTGGGTGAAGTGAGTTCAATTTCCTCGTGAGACACCACTGGCAATAAGTGTGCCATTTACATTGATAAATGGCCATTGTAGGTTTAAGGAAAGATTGAGACAAATGCAAGGCAACTTTACAAGTTAAACCATGATGCCATGCGAAGGACTGCATAACTTCCATGCATGAAGTTTGAGCTTCGGAATGTCTGGTTGTAGAATGTCGGATCAAGGTTGCCTCAACAGAGATGGCCAAAGAGGAAGTGGCAGAGGTGGGCATTCTTGATGATATTGAAGAAGAAGAAGCCATGGTTGGGCTGGCCAATCTGGGGCTACCAACAGCATTCAACAAGGAGTGGATCAAACCATAGCCAGAACTCTGGATAACAGATGAATTGGGGAGGAAGGCATAGAGATGCAATCCCATCCAGTCTTGACTAAATGCATCTATCGCCAAAGCCCGAGGATGAGGTACCAGGGACCAAAAACCTGTAGTTGAGAGTTCCAATGAGGGGTGAATGAATCAATCATCGGAGTCCTAAACTGAGAGCAAATCGATTGGAAAACCTCGTGATGTAGCATCCCTTCAGTCAGGAGAATTCAGTTGAGCCAAGACAGATGATCTGCTATTAAATTAATCACCTCCAGAACATGGCAAGCTAGGAGGTTGATATAATGGGAGTGAGAATATCCAAAGTTCAAAAACAAAGGTCCCAAGAATGTGTGCCCCTCGACAGTAAATGTAAGATACCACTGTGGAATTGTCAGAATGAATTATGATGATTTTTCCCTTCAATAGAGCTAGACCATGAGCCATTGCCTGTTGGACAGCAAGAAGTTCTAAAATATTGATGTGGAAGGAAGATACATTGTCCATCCATAGACCCTGAAATTCCTGAAGGTTGATAGTTACACCCCATTCCTGTAAATGAGGCATCTGTGAAGAGATGAATCTTGGGTTGAGAGGATGATATAGGTAGTGTTGTTCTGATCCAACCACCACTCGAGATCTAAGATGTCACTCCTGAATAAGGAGACTGGATGATCCAGTGGATCACAATTCATGATTCATTGGTCACACAGTGACCACTGAAGGGATCGCATGTGTGATCATCCCAAAGGAATTAGAGATTCAAGGGATGCCCACACCCCCAAAAGAGAGAGAACCATCAGTGCAGTAGGAGATGCAAGTAAAAGCCTGACTGCCCATTCGATAACATGGAGCAAGATGGGAGTCAGCTAAGCCAGACTTAAATACATGTTGAAAAAGATACCCACATGGATAAGAAAGCCAGCGTTGGTGGCTCTAGAAAGGAGAATCCGAGTGTGCCATTCTGCCAACTGACTAGATGGTGCCAGGAGTAACCAGTCGTTTATATAATGGTGTGTGTACAGGCCCAAAGAATGAAGGTGACAAGAAAAATCTCATACAACTCTGCAGAAGACATATGGTGTTGAACTGCAGAACCTGTCCCTTGAGCATGAAACATAGACAGCAGCGGGATGACTACACTATGGAAATGTGGAGATAGGCATCGGTAATGTCGAACTTGGTCATCCACAGACCTAGTGAAAAATTCCAACTTAGGTTAAGAAATAACTCCATCGTGAACCTGGGAGAGTCTAAAAATTGGTTGAGAAGAGAAAGACTGATGATCAGATGCCAATCTCCCATCTTCTTGGGCACATCAGATAAATGGGAATAAAGTCCCAGAAGAACAGGATTAACTCTCTTTACCTCCCTTTTGACCAAAAACTCTCTGATAGTCCTCGAATGAAGATCCACGCTCCATGGATCTGATGGGGGTGGAAATACAACAGGTTGGGAGGATAATGGAGGTGGAGATGTGAACTAAATGACCAACTCTTACACCAGAACCTGGAGTACCCAAGGATCTGTAGTGGAGGAATTCCAGATGTCCAGAAAATGTTGTAACCGTACTACCACAGATACCACTGGTGATGGTCTGCCCAAATGAAGGAGCCTCTTGGATAAGGACAGAATCTATTCTGGGTACCAGTAGAATGAGGAGCCAAAGCCGGGGGTCTGAACACACAAAGAGCAGTAGCACCATGACTTGTATTAGGAGCAAAAGAAAGTCGAGAGGAACAACAAGAAAGAATGCAAACGGGCGACATCAATCTGTGATTCCAATGCCTCTGGAACACCCGCAAACATCAAGGAGCCTCACATAACTCACAGAGGGCAGCAGCAGGTAGACAAATTCCCTCCAACAAGGCATCTCTACGCAATAAGTCCCAACAACATACAAGCCAGGAAACCAAAGAAAGAGCAGAAGCTGACAATATTACAAAGGTAGATGTCATCAAAGGACCCAATTCATAATCAAGTTGATGTGAGGATCACTTTGGAAGGAAGATATCTCAGAACTGTAGAGAGGGTCAGACGAATCCTAGAAAATTATGATCTGTTCAAAGTAATCACACATTTCCAAAAGTGGATCAAGTCTTTGAGAATCTAAATATACGTTTTCCTGGTGGTGGTAAGCCAAAGCATGCTATTCCAACAAATGTGTGGGACAAGTCATAGCTATCCTTTCATGTAATTGAGCAGTAAACCTCCCTGCATGAACAGCAATATCAGGTGAAGGAGGAAAAGCTAAGTACTCCCCTCAGACCTTTCCGTCATCAAGGAAGGAGAAAACTCAAAAGCAACCAGGTAAAACCTCAGAACCGCACAAACCTGATTGACTAACCAGCATTGTCCCAACCTACCTCCCCACTTAGAGCTGGTGTTAGAGACTGGGATGGAGTCAGTCTCGAAAAAGTGATAACATTATCTGAATTAGGTACTTATATATATATAGTACCAGGATAGAAGGTGCATTGATGTAGGTGGAGAGTATCACGAAACAAATATTGCCAAGAGCAATTGAGTGAGGTATAAAAGACTGGAGCAAGTGAGAAAAAATCAGACCAATGCTTAAATGGGCAAAGAAAGAAACCCTGGAGATTGAGTAATAGCTACAAGTGTCAGAGGAGGTAAGTATGTTTTGGAAACAAGATTTCTAATTTATTTTTCATATACCATAAATCACTAGTCAAGAGGCCTTCAGATAAATTCCAGAACTCATCACCTGAGCAGAACCTATGACATCCAAAATTATACCCGAAATGCTATTTTTATGCATTACACAAAATAATTACAGAGGTTTAAATTGTCTATGGCATGCTTATCACCACTCTGATTTAAAATTTTTAATGGAAAAATTAAGAGATATGTGAAGAAAAAACATCTATGGTGAAGTTTGATTTTTACCACATTTATTATGTGTAATAACACTCATTGCTTTACCAGCTTTAATAATATACAATATTGCACAAACTCAAACAAATTTAGTAAGTGTAACTACCTCATATATTTTTTATAAGGCTGTACCTGTTTATTTAGAGTCCGACATTCTTTATAATCATCTATCTCATTTATACAATTTTGAGAACCATTTCTAAGACCATAAGCCTCCAAACAGTTCATCATGTTTAGCTCAAGATCTCTGCATCGTAGATTACCCTGACTTGCTCCAAGGCAGCCAAAGAAGTCTGTCAAAGGAGTTCTGATAAAAGACATCTCATTCAAGTTTCTGAAGAGAAAATAAAGTGAAGAAGTGTATAAATTAATATTTCACAAGACAGGATTTATAAAAGATTAAAATAATGACTTTAACTTAAAAGTGTATTATGATTGATTTAATGTAAAAAATAACTCAAATAAGCCCTCTTTCAAGTTACATTACTAATCATAACATACGTACAACAAGACATGATTTGGTCCTTCAAGGATGTCCTTGTACATCATCCTTTATTTTTCAAGAAATCATTGATTTCCTTCTCAAACTTTGTAAATTGCTGTACTCTATTAATGAAAATAGCATCTGATTCCATAAAACAATCAACCTGTTCTAAAAATAAAACTGTCTTAACAGGAGAATAGGCCTTGTGTCTTCTCATCCTACTGTCTTTAGAATACAGAACAAAGAAATCAGAGGCCTTTATCCTGTCGATCCCACAGATAATCTTGGGAACTTCAATAAGATCCTCATACCCTTCTTTTCTAAGGAGAAGTAAAATAACCTTTCCATCGTTGGAATCAACCTAGTGGCTCTCCTCTGAACAATTTCCAATAACTCAATATCCTTTCTTAAATAAGGAGACCAAAACTGTATATAGTAATGATTCTGAGATACTATAATAGATGGTTAAACTACAATTATTTTTGATTATTTAACAAGACTCAAATAAGACAAAGTAATGAAGAGTATTTATGTTTTAATACCAAAACTAGCTTATGACTGTTTCATGGTGATAAATGAACTAATTTTATATGTACATAAGCTCACACATTTTTATAGCCAATTCAAAACAAGATTAACAGCTAAAAAAATTGAAAAAGATTAAACTTAAAGAGTAAAATAAAAAAAATTTCAACACTATATAATATTACAGATTCCACAATTTTTTGTGCTGATATAATCTTAAGTGTTAGATGACACAGGAAATACAGTTTCTCTTAAGAAGTTACCAAAATACAGGAGTAAGCATTATAGTATCTATTTTTCTTAATTGACTAAATAGGTTACTGTATTAGCTAAGAGTTTTAATACGTATTATGGTCATATGGTAAGATATCTGTAAAATGAGTACAAAACAAACAAACCATTTTTATAGAAACTAGTAGTTCAGACAGACTTAAAATGTGAAAAACCACCGAGTGCTCTGCAAATTATCTTAATGTCTCATTTCAGCATCAGCCAATTTGCGTAGTATTATTAAACAATATAACTTAATTACCAAAAATTTTGAATGAAAATCTATTTGAAAAGAATCAACTAGGCTTCAAAACTAGTCGTATATTATAAAGAGCAATGAAAACTCATCTACCTGACTTAACACAACTCATCTCTATAATCATAAGATTCAGTGTGTGTCACATAATTCCTCCTAAACTCCTGGTTGCACCAACTTCTAAGTGGTACCAAGTAACTTGTCTCAGCCCCAAGACTTGCACAAAGGTAAAATTTTTCCACCCCATCCCTTGGGGAACACAAATATTTCCAAACAAAAACCCTTTAAGGGGATTCCCCAAAAGCATACTTCCAATTTGGCATTGATTTACATTAAAGCACATGAGTAATTAGGCCTACTGAATACCAATCATAACTTGGTTAAAAAAATCAAATTTGCATTATAGTGACAATGATCATTAAACTGAAAAAGTGTAAACCAGTAGTTCAAGCATTACATTTGGCTTATAGCGATCTTGCAAATGTGGGCTATAACACCACTGGTTCACTAGTTAATTATATAGAATAAATCCTTTCGCTACAGCCTAACAACCACCACCAATTTTAACATCAGGTTCTAACTATAAATTTGTTCCAAAAAGCAGAAGAAATAAACATAAAATAAAGCACATCTATTTAAATTTAAAATCTGTCATAGTTACCAAAATAATGCCCTTCATAAGGCTCAATCAACTAAAGTTTCCACCAAAGTTTTCAGTCTCAAACAAATAACAATGACTTACAGAAATGTTATTGCCTTCTTCAACTCCTTTGCATCTTTATTAAATTCCATAAAAATATTATTTGTCAAAAGCTATACTTCTTGAACTGTTCAAAGCTTTTCTATAACAACATTCTCTTTCAGTTTAATAAAATGAAAGACTTACCCCTTTTACTATTAAAATTTTTTTTTAGAATGAGTCTCATCTTCACATTTAACAGCAAAAAACAAGTCTTTGCACCAATAAGAGCTATTACCTCATGTGCAACTGCCGTGGAATATTCTGTGCATGCCACAAACCTCGAACAATTTCCCATCCCTACATGTTTCTACGCATATTGTCCCAAGCCTATGACATAATCATCATAATACTGTAGCCCTCCATCAATAGGAGGGCAATATAACTTCCATGCATGGTAATACCCATGTGTAATAGTACATGATCAAAGGCTCATACTACTTACCTCTCAGCACTACTAAGAGCTAGAAGAATCCCACAAAGAAAATGATGGAGAGGCTAGTGATCAATTAAAATGATTAAATTCCTTTCTGAAATATCAACACAAAAGGAAAGTTTATGAGGTGTGACTCCCATGAGACCTAGGATTACCTAATGAAATAGCACATGGTGGGAGACCACATCCTTCTCAAGCAGGGAATACTGTTTGCCTAACTTGTTATTCAGTTATTCATATATCATATTTACATATCAGAGAGATTGCAATAAAGGATACTGAGTAAATCATCAAAAATGTGTCACAAAGGTGGAGAGAAAATAAGAATGTGTAGTGTGGCTAGGACATTAGACCATTTCATCTTGATGAAATACTTAGGTGAGATAGATATTGTAATGACAGGTAAAGAGGGGGGGTGGGGTGAGCTATCAACTTAATCCTTAGACAAATCCAAATCCCGAGTCCCCAAATGCAAGAGATAAATGCCTTAGATAATAAAATATCCATGGTGTGAATACATAAGGAGAGGATTAAGCTCACCTCGTATAGAAGTTGAGGAAAACCCCTAAATGGACAAGAAACTGAGTGGGAGTTAAAATGGACTTGGAAAGTTAGACCAGTCAAGAGGCCTCTTGAAGAGGAGTGGAGGTAGCAATTGAGAATACCTGTGGTGGCGAGACCAGAAGAAGCCAGACAATTATATAATAATGAAAATAAAGGCCCACAAGATGCATGCACTGAGCAAAGGAACAAATAAACTAGCTGAAAAACATAAGGGACTGTTGCAAAGCCAAAGTAAAGGCATGAAACTGAAAGACCTGATTACTGAGAGCATGATAGCCCACAAGACATATGGGAATATGAAGAAAGGCATTTGAAATATCTATCTTGGTTAAACACAGCTCAGGAGAGGAGAGAGGGCCTAATGCAAAATGAAAAGGACATCCATCTGGTATCTAAGAATACTAAGAAAGTGATTCAAAAATGACAAGTCAATGACAGGGCAGCAAACCTTCTGACTTCATGGGAATGAAAAAGTAGAGAGAAATTTCAGAATTTCAAATGGGTAGGCAACAGTTTCATCACCGACATTTCTACCCCTCTACATTCCACCTACCATGAAAGTTTACTGGGTGTATAATTGATATGTTCGATAATACGATGATTCCTTATTTCGTTATTTAATTAAACACATCAACTGTATTATGACTATGTATTAGTCTTATTTTACCATTTTATTAACATAAAATATATTTAAAGTTTTTATTCAACAGCATATAAAACATATTAGGATTTGATGATACAAGTTAATATGATTAAATATAATTCTCAAACTATATTACGTATAATGATCAAACTATATTATTATAATGCATTGTTTCATCAGTTGGATACTCTAGCTGTTAACAATATTTTTGCCCGTAAAGTTTCTCCTACAGAGGAATATGCAAGCAAGAATATTTTACTTGTGGAACTGTCATTCTACAATAATGATTTTCCTCAAACTAATGAGCCTCTGATTCTCAGCAACTTTATTTCTTAGTGTATACTGGTTAGTGTGTTAATTTATGGTTTAATTTTGAACATTTGTAATTATCAACCAATACACTTATAAGATACTGAACTACCAACTTATGCAATGAGCATGAGACTCATGCATCAGGGTCTATTATCATGCCCACATTAAAAAAAATCTCACATTTTGGTCAAATTAGCAACTTTGTATAATGCATTGTGATTGGTTAATCAGCTGAACCCAAGTCAAATTCAGAATAACATTGATACAGGAAATGCACTAGATTGCATCATTTTGAATAAAGTTTTCTAGAGAAGCATCTCCCACACTCCATAGAAGACACCCACCTTTGGCACTCACAGCACTGTATCACATGCTACTGTAGTATTACAACTGGTTAACTTAATTACACTTTGAAAGTAAGTTAATCCTGCTTAAATACATCAGTGATAACATATTGACAACAAAAGATCATTTGATCTTTCAAGAACTGTCTCTACAAACCAACCCTATTCAAAAGTAAAAACTTAAAATTCACCCTTTACTCTTCAGGAAATTTTCAATTCCCTTTTAAACTGTTGTAAAGTGCCAGCCTCCTCTAATGCCAATGGCAACTCACTCTGTAAGCTAGTAATCATGTTAAAAACATGGAATTGTCTTAACAAGTCTTTTCCAGTTCTTAAACTTTTGTCCTCTTATACATAAAATATAGCATAAAGAAATCAGAAGCTTTTATCCTATCTATACCTCAGATAATCTTTTAAACGTCAATAAAATCACATCTTACCTCACTTTTCTCTGCTGCATAAAAATAAAATAACAGATCTTAACTCATTCCCATAATATAACCTTTCCATCTTGGAATCACTCTATTTCTAGTAGCCCTAAACCTTTTCAACATCCTTTCTTACATATAGACTAATAAAAGCAAGATTACACACTATTCCAAGTAAGGCCTAATTATAAACTAGTGATTTGTATTGAGATACATTTAGTTCTTTTGATTTGAAATCAACATGTCTGTAGATAGACCTTAAAATTCTATGCACTTTGCTATGAGAAACACAGCATTGGTAGACTGATTTATCCACCACTATGACAAGATCCTTTTCTTCTGTCATTCTATTGAGATTGTTTCCATTTGTAGCAAACATTTGATACAATTTATAACTCAAATGCATTAAACTTATTATAACTATAATTAAAGGTAATTTGTAACTATTTGTCCAACTAACCAATTGATACAACCCATTCTCTAGTACCTCACTAAATTAAACACAGTTACAAATACCAAAGCTTTACATCATCAGCAAATTTTACTAATTATTCCCATTAATAATAATATCATTAATATAACTAAAAAAAAAGCAAAAGCACTTAGCCCTGACACTTGGTCCACCAGTTACAGGTGTCCAACCTGACTGGACTCCATTATAAAATTTTTGCTTTCTCATTAAACAAGGGTTCAGTTTGACAGTATGTGTAAGTTGTAACCTGTTAGTGTAAAGTGTAATCTAGTCCAAATATTTGGCTAGGTTACTAGGTGCTCTTTTTACAGTTTGATACTTACCGTTGTACCACTTTTGATACCATTACCAGTTTTATAATTTAACACCTATCGTTGTACCATGGAGTCAAAGTATAAAAGAAAAATAGGAGTACTCAGCCTGATTTATCATTTCATGGGTTAAACTGAGCTCTATTAGTATTACTCTTGCTATTAATTATTATTAGATTAATGACTTTAATTTTCTCTTACAAGTTACAGTTACACAGACATCTTACATTACATTTACAATACCATTTTATTGTTTCATACAACAAAATATATTCTTGATTTCCGAATGTAATTAAATATTTATGTTCACCATTTTTACACATTCAACAGTGAAAGTTACGTGAATTTTTAGAAGAAATTAATAATATTTAGAAAACATTTTACCAACAACAGGCAGAAAAATTACCGAGTTAACCCTGATGAGATACAGCATCAATGTTCCATCTGGTGTGAAAAATATTAATTACGTTTACATTTATAAACAATAAAATCGTCGTATATTCAACGAATAAATGGTTGAATGTAATTAATTTTAAAAAGTGAAATTGCACATTTGAGACAGTTATACTTGTTAAAACGGAGTACATTAGAATTTGTTGTACACCTTAATCAATGTACTTTTTATATGTATTATTATAGGTACTTATGCTAACAGGGTGTCAACATTTAGTTCAATTTACGTTAATGTACCTAGTATTATATACGAGACTCCCAAGTATAACTTTTAATATTCAGATAAATTGTTTACTATTCAAGCTATAGTGTATTTGGTAGATCTTAGATCCGTGTTTTGCGTCCCACTGTAAACACCTACGAAATAGCGATTCACACTTATGACATGAGGGTGCTTTTTAAGAGAGACAGGAAAATCTCACTTTTTCGGTCTGACAAGGATATCTCAATTTCTGTTAAGAGCTGCGCATAAGTAATGTTAACTATCTGCCTTTCCTCTGGTCTATCATTTTAAAATTAGGAATGGCTAGCGCAGATAGCCGTCGTGTAGCTTTGTGCAAATTCAACAACAACAAAACAAAACAAATCTCGAGTCTTCAAACATTAGCTCGAAAGAAACATAAATGATAACTTTATTTTGGACGGAATAACCAGCTTTGTTTATCTTATCCAAAACCTTCCAATATAAATGTTCTTGACAGTAAAAGCATGTTCAATTAAAAATTGTATATGTAAAAAAATAATCTTAACGCTTTCACCCCTGATGAAGACAAGTTCATTGGTCCAAAGCGATAGGCTTTACTGATGTGATAATTTATAAACGTGTTCTTTAGCAAATTCAGAATATTAGGATTAATTTCAAAATTGTAACTAACCGAAAGATTTTGTAATACGTAATAATATTTCTTTGTAAGTTTTTGAATAGTGAGCAGGTGCCAAAGGATTGGAAGTTAGCTAATGTCACTCCACTTTTCAAGGGAGGTAATAAAAATTGTCCTAGTAATAATGGGCCTATTAATCTTATATTAGTTGTAGGAAAAGTTTTAGAAAGTCAAATAAAAGATGCTTTGCAAAGTCATTTAACAAAGTTTAGAATTTTATTGTATAGTCAATATGGTTTCACTAAGGGGCATTCTTTGAAAAGGTTACTGCTTATGTAAATGAGGGTAATGGTGTAGATTTGGTGTATATGGATTTTCAGAAAGCAGTTGACAAGGTGCCACATAAGAGGCTTGTAAACATTATCTATATATATATATGGGGGGGGGGGGATACGTTAGCTTATTGCATAGAAGAGATGCTGGATGGAAGAAAGCAGAGGGTTGTTACAACTGGGATTCAGTCAAACTGGATGTCACAAGTGAAGTATCTCAGGGCTCAATCTTAGGACCCTTGCTCTCTTTGATTTACATCAATGACATTGATAGAGGAATGCTCAATAAATTAATTAAATTTGCAGATGATATTAAGGTCTTGGGTGTTGCTAGCTGTGAAGAGGATGCTGCTGATGTACAAAAGGATTTGGATCATTTAGTGAGTTGGGCAAGTAAATGGCAGATGAGTTTTAATTATAATAAGTGCATGATAATGGATGAGGTTTATCATAATTTAAATTATAAGTATAATTTGAATGGGAATAACCTTAACAGTTTCATGAAAGAAAGGGATCTTGATGTAATGGTTGTTCAGTCTCTTAAGCCTTCCAAGCAGTGTGCTGTTGTTAGTGGTAGGGTAATTAGGATTTTAGGTTGTAACTGCAGAAATATTGAATACAAGCAGCGGTGAAATTCTGAACTTATTTTTCAAGGCAGTACTAGTACCACGACTTATTTGAGCTATTTTTTCGGATGCGTGTGCGTGCCATCGTTCCGTCAGAAAGTATTGTTGCGTCAGCGAGGTCATGTGACTAGTATCCCGCCACGTCCTTCTCGAACCTTCGTGAATTGTCGGGAGACTCCTAGATTGGGGGGTAGTCTGGTATATATATATAAGACGGTCACAACGTGACAGGTGTCTGTGTGTAATTGAACTGAATATTGTTGAGCACGTGAGACGTTCGTTGAGAATTATAGCGTTTGTTATAGAGCAACTGTTGAAATTAAGTGTATCGTAACGTTGTATTCGGAAAGAATAAACCAGTTTTATTTAAGAAAGGACTTGTGTCGCTAAAGTTTCGTCGCAACGAATTTACGAAAAATTAACTAACGAATGGAGACGTAACAAATTGGTGTCAGAGAGTGGGACAAAAAAAATGGAAACGTGGGGCGGAAAAACAAACT